GATTTTTCGCCTTTGTCCGAGAAGGATAGGTGTAGATCTTTCCTACCAGAAGATCATTGGTGTGGCAGAAAGACAGCAATAAGGAGGAGCCAAGGAGTAGCAGTAGAAAGGCTGCAGAAAGAGTCAAGAGCCCAGAGGAGGGGGCAAAGGAGGTGAGGGGTGGGGGCAGACAGTGGAAATGAAAGCAGACAACAGAACATTGCTAGAGAGTAGGAAAGGAGGTGAAAGGAGACACTTTTAGAGAAGAAAATGTTTCGGTCGCTACCTGGATTCGAACCCGGGACCTTTGAATGAGAGGCCAACACCTTAACCTCTAGGCCACGAGAGCCCCCTTTGCCATTTTGAGTTACTAAGACCACGAGGTCCGGAACCAAATGTTCTATCTGCTCTAGGAAAATTGTAAGATTATTCGGAGACGTTTTCAAGACGTTCAAAGAATTACATTCGAAAAAGCTCAACATTTTTTTACGTCAAATTTATCAAAAACTAGGTACTGAGCCGATAGAACTTTGTAATGTTTTAAGGTAACGACTTGTCAAAGACAGATGAAATATAGAACACCACTTTGATTGCATGGGATCTTCTTGGTATCGGTCAGTTTGAAGTTTGGGAACGAAAGCCGGTAGTAATACAAAGAAGAAACAGGAGTCCATTTCGAAAATGGAATATTGAAAAATACAGATTTTTACAGTTCAAACACATCTCCGGCTCCGAGGGAATAAAATGTTTCCGCGTTACACCATGTCAGCTCAAACCGGTTATATGTCAGCTCAAACCGGTTATATGTCAGCTCAAACCGGTTATATGTCAGCTCAAACCGGTTATATGTCAGCTCAAACCAGTTATATGTCAGCTCAAACCGGTTATATGTCAGCTCAAACCGGTTATATGTCACGTACTAAATTTGCCTCCACTGATCTCTTCGTCTCCCTCCGAATGCCCGGTAGAATAAGGAACATAAATTAAGCAGAATAAAGAATTTTTCTCTGATGTATCGTGCTGTCAGATGAACTCAAACGTATACACACTCACGCACATGTCATATCATACCATAATTATCATATCATATAAAATCATATCATATCACGTCATTATCATATCATATCATGGTATATCACATCATATCACGTCGACATGATTTTTCTATCTATCTATCTATCTATCTATCTATCTATCTATCTATCTATCTATCTATCT